TTAACACCTTCACTGTCCAAGCTGAACTTACTAACTTTATCCTCCATCATAAAATGCTTAAACTGTGAAGATAATACCTAATTCCTACATCATTCCCTAGTTCATTAAATCTGTTATTTCAGAAGACATGAGAGTTCTCCCTTTCTTCTTTTCCCAATCGTAGAATCATGGCAGTTCTATTTGAAAATATACCTTGAACATTCCTTCTCCAGGCCACCGATGACTTTTAACTGTATTGATTAGTTTCTGTCAAATTAACAGAAATTTGGTAGAGGGAAAGCCAGGTGAGGAAATGCTTCCCCCGGATTGGCATATTGTCATGCCTATATCACATTTTCCTGATTTATGATTGATACGGAAGGTCTCAACACGCTGCGAACAGTGCCACCCCTGGGCAGGTGGATGACCAAAGATTGTGTAAGGAAGGAAAAGAAGTAAACCTTGCAGACCAAGCTTTTCTCCATGGACCCCACCTCACTTCCTGCCTCTAGATTCATGACTTGAGTTCCTGCCTTGGTTATTATGTAGATGAATTATAAAAGGTAAGGCATTTAAGCCCTTTTCTCATCTAAGTTGCTTTTAGTCTATGTTTTATCAAAGAAATAGAAAACTAAGATGGAATATTTGAAATTCAAGAGGACATCTCAAATTGCTTTAAGGATAATCTTGTCTTAGCCTATAGTATGCAATTAAACATCTACATTATACATTCAATTGAAAATCTTACAGTTTCTCATTCTGTATTTCTTATGTTATGTGAGTGTCCTAAAGTTACTTCATTGTATTCATTGTTTTTTTTTGTGATGAATATTTTTATGTCAACTTGACACAGGCTCATGTCAAACAAGAGAAGGAATGGTAGATTAAAGACATGTCTTTAAAATAGGGCTATAGGGAAGTCTTGTACAACATCTGTTTAAATTATCAGTTTTATGAGGGAGGGCATATCTCATTATAGTTGGTGCCACCCCTGGCCTGGGGGTCCTGCCTTCTATAAGACAGCCGGATGAACAAGCAAAGGGAAGGAAGCCTGTAAGTAACATCCTACATGGTCTTGGCATCAGCTCCTGCCTCCAGGTTGCTGCCCTGCTTGAGTTCCTGTCCCCACTGTTTTTGATAATAAACTGTTATTTTGGAGTTTGAAAGAAATAAAACCTTTCCTCCTCAAGTGTCTTTGGCCATGGTGTTTTAGGTAACCCTGAACTAAGACAGAAATGTTATCGAGAGTGGGACATTGCTCTGATAGGCCTGACCATGTTGTTTTGGGGAGGATTGTGGAAGGAATTTGAAACTTTAGGCAAGAAAACTATTGAGTGTTCAAAGATTGGCAGGCTGTTCTGTGGGGTCTTCAAGGAGTATAGAGAGAAGTAATTATGGTGGATGCTTGGCTTGTGCTACTCCAGAAGAAGGTTTGAGAGCTGTTTTAAGACTATCAGAGTAGTTGCGCATTTATTTTAAATTTAGATTCTATGGTTCTGGGCAGCTGAGGCTGAGAACCAGTCATAATAAAGAAAAAAACCAGCACAACTAAAATGAACCCTTTGCTTTACTGAGGCCATTGAAGCTGGTTACTTGGCAGTGATTTTGAAAAGATCAGCATCCCTGAGGTGAAATCTCCTTAGAAGTGTTTCCTCAGAGTCCACAGGCAGAAGCTGTGTTACAGAAGTGGTCAAGGCTGTACTTTCCTCTGGCAGCTGATTGGGTTGTGTAAGAATCTTGAACTCATGAAAGAATTACGGAGAACAGTTGAGCTTTGGCCTTGTGAGAGGCTAGGAGAGGCTATTGGTGAAGGTACAGCCTCAATAACAGCTGAAGATACAGGATTTAATGGGTAATGCAGAGTATTTGAGGGTTGGCACCATGAAGAGAGCCCAGGAGAGGCTATCAGTGAAAGTGCAGCCCAGTTTCAGCAAGAGACCCCAGCATTTTGGAGATGACAGTAACATGGGATGGTCACCAATAACAACAGCAACAATGGAGTAGAGCCTTCCTAACCTTGGAAAACAAGCTGTGCTTGCTTCAGATGACGGAGTCTGAGATGGAACCAAGACCCTTGGAGGATCCCAGAAGGACATAAGTGAATCACTGATATCAGAAGTTCAGTTTGATTTTACTTTGATCTGATTATGACTGTGCCCTGGTCATTCCTTCTTGAAATAAGAAAGTATTAAACTTACTTTTTATTTACTAGAAACACACGACTAAGAGACTTTTGATTTTAAAAATAAACTTTGGTTGTTAAAAGTGGCTTTGAGATTTTTAAAAAGCCTGGATTTTTAAAGTGAATTTTTAAGATTATGGACCTTTTAAGTTTGCAAAATCTTTTATATTGTGATGTTTATAGTAATGTGTGAACTTGTGGATGAACAAGAAAGGAAATGTTGTGGCCTTACAGTGGTGTGTTTGTGTGTCAAGTTGTAAAGGGGTCAATTGTGCTGGATAGTTTTATATCAATTTGATATGTTTATCATCTGAGATAAAGGAACTTCCATTAAGAAAATATCGCCATAAGGTATGATTGTAGGCAAGTCTGTAGGGAATTTTCTTAATTAGTGATTAGTGGTAGAGCCCACTCCACCTCTTAGTGGATGATGTCATACCTGTACTAGTGGTCCTGGGCTTTGTAAGAATGTAGGCTAACCTAGCCAGAGGGAGCAAGCCAGTAAGCAGCATCCCTCCATGGCCTTTGCCTCAGTCATGTTTCTAGGTTCCTTGCCTGCTTGAGTGCTATTCTCACTGATTTTGAAGATGAACAGTTATATGGGAGGGTGAGAGAAATAAACCCTTTCTGCCCAAGTTGTTTTTGGTCATGGTGTTTCACCACAGCAATGGTAACTCTAAACTATGATTATTTCCAATTTGGATTCTGTCTTATACAGAACCCTCAGTTAAGCAATGAATGAATAAATTGAAAATGGTCTTTCACTTTTCATGTGTGATAATAATTTGAGCTAATGCTGATTGAGATTATTGAAAACATTTCTAAGAGAGAAAGTTTGTATTACGCTGGATTAGTCTTACATAGCTCTATGTCTCACAGAGTTTTGTGCTTTTATTGGATTTTGCAAAGCTGTTCGCATTCTTTTTAGCATCACGGACCTGCTACTTAGAGAATAATACATGAATATCGTCTTTTCTTAGTTCATAAGCAATTGATATGGACAAAATGTTGTCTTCACGTTTGGAAAGTCTTTTATTTTCCTAGATATATCATTTGCTTTCCCAAAACATGATAGAATGTGACAGTTCATGAAGTAGAGTCGATTTCTTTGGGTACTGATATATGGATGTGTAGAAGCAAACTTATTTCAAAACTTTGGTTTCATTCAAAAGTTATAACTATGATATGTATGGCATTATACTGGCTCTCCTTCCATATTTGTCCATTGTGCACAAAGTCATCTTACTCGGTTCCTTACTCGGTTCCATTAGAAATTGCTGATACATCTTCTTTGGCCTTTTAAATTACCCTTCAAGAAATTTTACATGTTTGTCATATTTCAATTATTCACTATAATTTGCGTGATTTTCCCAACTTTTTTCATTAATTATTAAAAACATCCAAATCTATTTATAAGTAAATATTTTTGAACACAATAAGCTTTATAATTAGTAGTTTATATAAAGATACAAAGTAAAATTATTTCAGATTGTGTTGAAATGAAAACTCTCACCTTGGGAGTTCTTTTTAAAGTTTTTATGAGGAAATGTAAAGCTGTCTTTATTTAGTTATTAAATCTACATGATTTATAAGAAGTAAATGGTCATTTAGAGTTACATCTTCATTTAAGGCATGGGGTTTCTTCTCCCATCATGTCATAAAAGTCATCAAGCTAATGAAATATATCACAGTCAAAGTTAAATAATTCAACAGCATTTTTAAGAATTTAATTTGCAAAACTGTTCATGAATCCCATTTAAACCTTAATCATGATATCCATGGAAATTATTTGAAATAGTTGTTATTTATACTTAGTTTTATTAAATAAATGTATGAGTGACATGTGATAATGGATCAATGGGTAAAGTCCTTCCTATACAGACGCACAGATAAGTTCAGATCCTCACTACCCACACACATATTTGGGCACAGTAGTACCTTCCAGTAACCTTAGTTCTGGAAGTGTGGAGAAAGGTGGATCAGGAATTTACTGACTAGACACTCTAGTTCTCTAGTTGGAATGAGACATAATTCAGATTAAGAAAAAGACCCTTTCTCAAAAAAAAAAGATAAAGTGGAGACAAAACCAAGCACACCCACATACAAACATGCACACAGATGTACACCACACACATGCATGTGCATGAGTCATATGTGCATATACATGTATACATAAGACATATCAGCCTTATTAAGAGCACAATTGTAGTGAGGAGCTGTGGGCAGTCCTGCTTTTTGTCCCGCCCTGCTCCTGCACGGCTAGCTTAGTCCCGGAAATAACAACACACAAATTATATTCATTTAAAAACTGCCTGGCCCATTATCTCTAGAGAATTAGTTACTGGCTAACTCTCACATCTTGATTAACCCATTTCTAATAATCTGTGTAACAACACGAGGTGGTGGTTTACTGGGAAAGATTCAGCATGTCTGACCTGGTTGCTGGCTCCATGGCATCTGCCTCATTGTCCTCTTCCCAGCATTCTGTTCTGTTTACTCCACCTACCTAATTTTCTGTCCTATCAAAGGGCCAAGGCAGTCTCTTTATTAACCAATGAAAATAACACATAGACAGAAGGCCCACCTACATCACACAATATCTCAACATCTTGAAATATTTGAGCCACCCAGATATGAAATATTTTTAAAAGTGTGTGAGAATGAGCAAATGAAGATTCAGGAATGAAGAGAATATCTGCCATAATTCACAATCCCTGCTTGATAAATACTAGACAAATCCATGAATTTATCATTGTCTATAAAATAATCAATAGACTGCAGTGTGATCTGTGCTAACAGTGTTAAATTGGACATCTTTTTCTTCCCCTATTTTCCCCAGCTGTAAGCACAAGATGTACCTTGAAAGGCTGCCAAACACCAGCATTATTATCCCATTTCACAATGAAGGCTGGACTTCTCTCCTGCGGACCATACACAGTATAATTAACCGGACCCCAGAGAGTCTGATAGAGGAAATCATTCTAGTCGATGACTACAGTGACAGAGGTAAGCTGCATGGGTAACATGTTATCTGAGGCTGTAATCGCACATAATCACGGAAAGAGGAAGATGGTTTCTTTTCATCCCATCTGAAGATGATCATGAGGTTTTACCTGTGTTGTAATTGAAGATAAAGGTTGGGCAATTGCAAAAGTAACATAATGAGAAGCTACTGGCATTGGAGATGTCATTGATAATAAATTTACTTTGCATTCTATTGAAAATCAGACAGTACGAGAAATTACCTCAAGCTTATTTCCAGACATGATAAACCTGGAAACTATGTTGTTGCAGGAACATGTCATTAGAGTTATTCGTGTAAGTTTCCAAAGTGTGTTTCTATTTCTGAATAGTATTGTGCCTTGCTGTTTACTAGTTTGATACATTCTCCAAGGCATGCTTCTGTGATTTCACAAATATTACAAGTTACAAGGGACAGGAATATATACTTTTGCTCATGGTTTCAGTTCTTTTTTTCTCATATCTAAGGATTACAGAAACAATTTGCTATAGCAGCATAAAAGAAAACATGACACAATATAAATGATTCCCATTAAGGTAAAAGCAGTTTGACTCATAAGGCAGGGGTCGAAATTATAAAATGGTCATTGAGAGTGGGAATTCTTAAATTACATTTGGTTGAAATGAGGAATTAACAATATAGTGATAGGAGAACACATCACAGTGTCCACAGAGAGATGACGAAGAGGTTTGAAGATATTCACATTTGGTGTGTGCATTTCCATAACATAGAACACTGCATACGGTGTTTTAATTAATATGACATCTGAAGGAAGAGTGGCAATAGATTATTTGTGTCAATATTATTATTTCAGCACAGAAGCAAACCCATCTTGAAATCATAAGGCTGAAGTGTTTTCTGGAAATTAGATCTGCAACAAAGCATCATGTTTTTCATGGCATGGACGAGTTATATAGAAGGATGCATAGGATGCTATATTGAGAAAGATTGATTTGAAAATACTCATGGGAGGATTGCCAAGGTTGTTGATTTTATACGTCAAATTGAACAAAATCAATATTCTTTTCTGGTGTAAGTGGCCACCTTGGTTATTTCCCTTTGATTACAGAGGTTTCTCCATTCTGTTGCTTAGGATCAGTATATGTTTGATACAATCTCAAAATAACATCCTAAAGATAAAATTGTAGTAGTCACATATCTCTAAAATTAAATAAGACACTATTTCATTTTTATTAAAATTAATGTTAGAAATTTCAAAGTATCCACATTTATCTCATACAAACATCAGCATTTAAATAAATTTAAAACCATATTTATGAAAAGAAAAAATACAATAAAATCCAAGGCTGAAAATCGTCAAGTGAATGGTCTTTAGGGTTGACTGGTGGCAGATGACATTAGGCGGTATATGTGTGGGTAATTTTCTGCATAATTAGTTTTATCCTAGAAAACTGTTTATTATGACAGAATTTTTGCCCTGTGGTACTACTACAGTAGGAAATGCATGGCAGTAAAATAATGTCTTTAGAGTATAGTTTGCAGAGTATATTCTGACAAATTTCAACTGAAATACTGTAGATGACGAGAATCAATGGGGCTTAAGTTTCTTAGCTCTAAATTACTCTTGTTTTTGGTGCAGTAGCTTCTTTGCAGTAGCCATTTTTCTATGGTTACTGAGTTTAGTGATACAGATGCCACACAAACAGAAGCAGAGCCAATTAGGACAGTAATGGTGATCTTTCTCTTTATTATTAGACATTTTAAGAGGAAAATAATCAAATGCTTATGCAAAACTTTCAGGTAAATATTTTATTAATTTTATTATTTAAGTTTGTAGACTATTTGTTTTTAATCACAGTCCTTCCTATTGCCTCAACTTTACCCAAATCTGCTCCAATTCTACCCACCCAATTTTATGTTCTCTTTCCTGTCTCTCTTTTCATCTCTCAAGAACAACAACTACAGCAATGAAAACAAAATGTAAAAATGAAGAACAAACAAACAAGCAAACCTAATAAGACAAAACAAAAACAGAAACAAAATGCACACATAAAAAACTAAGAGTCTATTTTGTTCTTGCCAGCTACTTCTGGGCCTGTGGCCTGCCCTTGGCTCTGGTTGCTATACCCAGTAACTCTTCATTGGAAAAAATTCCAGCTGTAAACCACATTTTGTAATGAAAGGCAAAACTAAATGTTTGAAAGAAATAAGTGATAAGAATGTCTCTATAATCTTCTGTTTTATAGTTATGAAATTATATGGAACAGGAAAACAACTTTCTTCTATGTTTTTGCTTGGTATTATGAAATCTTTTCTGATAATTTTATTTGGCATATATATTATAATCCTACCAACTACTTCTAACTATGCACACTGAGTATATTAGTTAAATTTTAGAAGTCACATCTTTTTTATCAAAGGGATAAGACAATATGTCTCCTCATGTACATTATAATGAAGATGTGTCTTGGGTGGACAAATGTCCAGGAGAAAGTAGAAAGTAAACACCTGAGCCATCACCTTCGTGTATTCGCGTGTACCACATACTCCCATATAGCTCTAAAACGATCTCTGTTCTTTACTGAGAATATATTTGTAATTGCACGTAATATACTCCACAAAGTTCATATTCATGCATTCATCTTTTTATTCATCTGTCATCTAGCTATTCTCAAAAACAAATTATCTGGAATATATGTGATGACTAATTATGGTAATTCATAAGCTTTGGAAACTTTTGAGTACTTAAACAGAAGGAATAACCCAAATGAGATTACTAACTCATTATAGGAATGTTAAATAAATAAGCCTCCAAGATTTTATTAAAAGTGGAGACGATGCTATCTGCCAATGTTACACAAATAGAATTAAGGCACATTTAACAGAATGTTTTCCAAAAATGATTTTTACTGTGATTAGGTAAGGAAGATATCCTAAGGCTGGTCTTCCAAAGGCTCCAAGACAGGAGCTACTTCTTTGAACTATACATAGTTCCATCTATATATAGATATGTTGTGATTAATAGGATACTGATAAGGATATATATGCATGCATGAGCTTTTTTAAAATTTCATGAATTACAACCTTACATTGCTTACATATTTTTTATGAACTCTTTAAACTCAGAACAGGTAAGATAGACAAGCTTTAAGTCTGTAAAAAAACATAGAGAATCTGTTGGTTTCCTTGAGGAAATTATTTCTGATATTTTATGCTTTATTTTCAGCAATACATTCCAGTCTTAGTTCATTTCCCTATGCGACCTCACTCCTTACCAGAGTATGGTCTTCTGGATGGTCTGCAATGTCCTTCAGCCAAAGGCAATAAAAGTTTGACGAGACTTAATCAAAATTCCCTGCCCTATATTTTAGGTGCTGAATGTCAATAGAACAGCGATATATGACAAAAAATGAGGATGGCAATATTTTAGCTATGTTAGTAGTGCATGTAAAATATCACTTAGATGTGCTTATTTCCGATACATGTATGTAGTACAATAATTGTAACATTCTGCTATAAAGAAAACACTAAAAATCATTTAGTTATGAATAATTCTGTTTTATTACTGTGTGGTTTTCTCAAATATCTGTCTAAGTGGGATTGACCTAGTTTTCAAGTTATTTTTTTCAAGTCAGTATCTCACCAGGAGTTCTTAGCTGAGGTGCTTTCCACTCCAAGGCTAGTTTGGAAAAAAAAAAGAATGAAAGAAAGAAAACTATTATTTTAGTCTCGGAACATAAGCAGGTCATCTCTTAAACGTTAAGTTTGAGGCCCACAGATAAATGTCTGAGCATTCCTGACTTGTTTTTGCTCTTTAGAGCTCACTTTTCTGGAGTGAGTGAGTGTGTAGCTTTGCCCCAACGAAGCTTGTAGAGATACCTTGTACAACTTAACTTGAGTCCTATAACACAGTTTCACGAAGACTTTAAAGCAGAAGTAATCCTGGGCTTATCTCCAAATTCCAGGCATCCTTACCAGCATCCCCATGGAAACTGCTAAAATGTGTGAAATAAGCTGGGGCTTATCCTCAGAGACTGGGTGTGTTGGAACCTGACAATTCTGTAGACAATTCTTAGACAAGCACAAGTCCAATTTAGGGGTAGTAATGGTGGGGGTGATACAGACACATGTCTGTCAGCATATTCTGTGCATCGAGGTATACACACAAAATCACAGCTACACATATACACACTCACATATTGTTTCCTTAGCTTGGTTCGTGCTTCATTGTGAATTGAGGTAGACAATTCGCATTTGTGATTCACCAGGACATTCTTCTCTATGTGTGCTAGATGGGAGGAAAAGCCAGAGATGTCAACTACCTTTACAAGATGACCATTATGGTAATTTTGATGAAATCCGGCTTACTTTCCCTCAGATCCCCTAGAATGTTGTATAAAAATTGTTTATACTGTGTGAAGATGTAGCAGTGTTTTTCCAAATCTGCTTAAGGCACCTGATTGGTTTAATAAAGACCTTAATGGCCAATAACTAGGCAGGGCAGGGCAAATGGTACTTCTGGGCAGGGACAGGAAGTGAGAAGAGAGGCAGGTTTTTGCCAACCAGGCATGGAGGGAGTCATATATACAGAATGGAGGAGAAGTAAAGAGCCATGTGGCAGAATATGGATTAATAGCAGCAGGTTAGTTTAAATTATAAGGAGCTATTTGGGAACAAGCCTAAGCTAAGTCCAAGCTTTCATAAAAATAAGAAATCCCCATGTCATTATTTGGTGACCAGTGGTCCAAAGAAAGTTCGACAACAAAAACCTGCTGCATTAGACAGCTGCTGCCAAAGGTGTGACCGATGCACTAGTAGCTTAGCCATCATCTTGAAGCTTCTGAGTAATACAAGATCTCAGTTCTTCCTCAAATGAATGAGACTCTAAATTTCAATCCGAGGAATTTCACATAAATTAAAGTGCAAATCATTGTCATGAGCATCAGATTTAAAACCAAAACCCCAGTGATAAATAAATAGGATCCCTTCCAAAAAATATCCTTTAAAAATATATTTGCATATA